AAGAAATAAACAGTGGTAAGGTCCGTTTTAATTCACCACCTTGTTGTATACATGTTAAGGAAGAAGGAGGCCCTTGGAAAAAACAAGATAGTCTTCGTTATAACAAAGTGCTGACTTTCGCACGACTTCTATCAGGCGGAGGAGTCAGCTTGCTTTGATGATAGGTAGTTCAGATATAACCTAACAATTATACCATGCCTATCCCATCGAGAACCTATTTGGTTACTCTCATTATGTGAAAAGTATTTATTAGCACAGTGAGAGCGTTGATTTACTGCGCCATACCCAACAATGAATGAACAGGTGTGGTATGACAAAAATTAAAACAGCTATGGTGGTATGAGTGGATGCTATGAGCCAAAGGGAATATCGTATACACTGAATGTGTCGTGAACAAAACCAGCGTATTCAAGCAATCGGCTTTGTTGTTTTAAGTTGCAGCAATTTATACATTATTCATAACTCGTTTTGTTCATCATCTACATGCTACTTGAGCTCCGGACAAACCGCATCCGGAACCACAGTGTCAGAATAAAACGCTGGTTGCAAGAGATCATCTTGGATTGAATCATATGATGCGTATTTAGTGAGGCAAATGAAGCACCCTGAAATACCTTAGATTACTTATTCACATTTTATATCTTACCTGCATCAAGGAAACGCACAACAGCGGCTTCATTTCCACTGTGCAACGCCACGTTGTTTAGAGCACCTTGTTCGTACAGTTCCATGAATATTTCCAAGCGGCGTTCGCACAATTTCAGATGGACATTCGGATTCGGTCGAACATCCGGATGATACTTCTCTCGAAACCTGAGACAAGGACACCATGGGGTGTGAGCGGATTAGCATACGCGAACTGATTGCCGCTATTCACATTAGTCGGGACATAGGCTGAGAGAAAATAAATAAGTAAAAGCTGCTAGTTTTTAGTGGCCTTCAATTTCTCAACATGGGCTTGAAGGTCAAAGGTGTCGCTCCGTTTTCATCAGTCCTACCTTACGGTCTTGATACATGACTAGTGCGCAGTACCCGTCGATCAAACAACAATTCATACACAAACTAAAAATAATTCCGCACTGCATTGGTCGTCCCACAGGATAATCAGGACCGCGCCGTCCATTGCATCGAGCGGAGTTGTGATTATTGAGTTACTGCTCATATATCCCAACCTCATTTTAATTCTTTGTTTTCTGTATCCAGCCCTTTACCTTTGCTCCTTTTTCCGACCTGTAACAATCTCTCAAAGCAACTTGGATGTCGTTAGCCAGGGGTCGTTGCCAAATAGCATTGTAAGTAATTTCCCACGAAACAGATTGCAGATTCTGAGGCCTAGGTAACCACTGAATATGTGCACCTTTAGCGTGGGGACTCTGATGCCAGCGGGTCAACAAGCTTGTCTGGCGCGTACACTGGAATCCTTAGAGATCGATAGTTGCTGCGCATCGGAGACTCGCATTCAGGATCCTACTACTATAAGCCACTTGATCGCACCAGATGTGTTCTCGAAGTATGTTCTTCGCACGACGAAAACCGTTCAGTAGGTGAGCGCAGGGTAGTTACTGAACTGAGTAACAGGATCAAGTTCTCTCTTATCTATTGGATCCCATGAACAGTCGCTTATGTGCGATGCATCTCCAGGAGTCTATCAGCGTCCAGAAGGGAAGCAACACCAAAAGGTGTTTATTTATCATATTTGCATGTGCAACGACCAACTGCCATTCTGACAGAAAGAACAATTTTTACGATAAACTCACCGACCTCATTCGGTCGTGTCTAAGCTCCGAAATAGTTGTACTTGCAGATGAATTCAACGCGAAGGTTGGAAAACTGAGCACATCAGCAACTTGTGTATGCGATGGTTGTTCTGCCCTGCAAGCGAACAGATAACGGCGATCGACGTCTTCAGCTCTGTGCAGATCACCATTTGTTCCTACCTATTACCAACTCGGTTAGCTCATCATCGCCTGTCTGTTCCAGTAGTTCGTGCAGGCTATCAGTGAAAGCTAGTGCGTCAGCTAAGCGCGCCTCAATGTGATAGTGTAGATGAGCAATGGGATCAGATTAGACAAGCAACGCATTCCGCAGCGAACGTTGCTTGTGGGTCTGAGGATCAAGTCCGACGGAGGCACTAGATATCTCATGAGTCAGTAGCCCTGATGAAAAAAAGACAAATACGGTCCTGCCAGGCTCAAAACAGGCTAAGGTGACATCTGTAACGTCAGCTAACGAAGAGCCTCAAGAAGGACCATCAGAACTGGTGGGGCAACAATAACGAGTGAAATGGAAGTAGCAGCTGCATCAGGGAATAATCAAAGACTGTAATACGGGAGGTCGTCGAACTTCAGTTAGTGAAACAATCTGCAACAAAAGTGGAAAAGCTAATCACAATGGGGACCAACGGCTTGGTCACTGGGAAGAATACCTCAGTGAACAGTTCCGCTGACCCGGCGCTAGCCAGATTACCTCATCTGCAACTGAAGCTCCGTGGGCAGTGTCGTGCGATCCTCTGGCAGAATCAGTAGTCCGGTCTTACATTCAAGCTCTGAAGCGAGGGAAAACAGCAAGACCGGAGGGGTTCCTTCGCTATAATTTCAAGATGGAGGCGTGATAAACTCTTAAGCTCTATTACTAACTTACTGCACAACATTGGGACGCAAAAGCACATTCCTTCGTCTCGGAGCGAATCACTGATTGTTCTCATCTTCAAGAAAGGATCTCGCAACGATTGTGAAAACCACTGCGGGATGAGTTTGATCCCAACTGTCACTAAGGTGTTAGCCTCCGCCATACCTCGACGTCTGACTTCTTTAAGAGAGACCAACATACGTGAACAGCAAGCCGGATTCCGACCCGATCGTGAATGTATTCATCAAGCTTTTTGCGATGCGTCACACCCACCGTAGACCAACAACCTCAGTGTCCCTTGACCCCAAAGGAGCATTAGACTCAGTTAACCGTGAAGATCAAGTGGGTTCCCTTCTTCGAAAAAATGCTCCAGAAGTACGGTAACTTACTAAAATCACTCTACTTGAGTAGACCTTTGCGCACCAAGGTTACTAGATTTAGTAAGTTGACCTATGACTATGACCTTGACCTATCGGAGTTACTAAATTTAGTAGCAGTT